CAGATGCGGGACCGCTCGGTTGTCGTCACTGGACGGGCGCTGCAGACGCATTGCAGGTGGAGGCACAGCGCTGACGGGAGCCGTATCCACTGGTGGCACGTGTAGCTGAGACTGAGTCAGCCACTGTCGGGTGCGCGTGACCGACTCGTCCGTCTGTCGAGACACGCATACCTGCACCGGTGGCTCTGTTGCAACCACCGGGAGGCCGGCGACGGATGGTGCAGCGTAAGAACGAGCGAGCTGCGAACCCCGCTCCTCCTGCTCCAGCAGCTCCAACTCCAGCTGGCGACATTCTGCTTCATCCTTCGCCGCCTGAGCTTCCAGCGCTGCCTGCGCCTCCGCCTGCTCCGCCTGCCGCCGGGCCTGCTCCGCCTGCGCCTCCGCCTGACGCCGGGCCTGCTCCGCCTGTCGTCGGGCCTGCTCCGCGTCCGCCTCCGCCAGACGCCGGGCCAGCTCAGCCTTGGCGGCGGCGGCGCGCTGGGCCTGTTCCGCCTGGAGCTGGCTAAGTGCAGCCCGGCGGCGGGCTTCACTGAGACCGGAGGACGCCGTGCTGAAGCTCGCCTCGCTCCTCGTGTGATACGAGCTTCGGCGGCTTTGATGTGATTTCGCATCACTGGCATGTCGTGACCGCTTGTCAGACATTGTACTCACAGTTCACAACACCGCGTCGTCACTGTAAATCCATCACACTAGTTCACTGATATCCGGCCCGGAGGACCAGAATGTTCGTGGGAATCGTACAGTTTACCCGTTCGATACGGAAATGCTCGTGCGTCACTCGTGATCGTTCACTCGTTTTCGTACTCGTTCTCTCTCGTCACCCGGAGGACCATAAAGTTATTGTTCATATATGAAAAGTCTATTCTTGAATGAAACGGAAACGGTTAAAATGCACAAAATACGGCGGTCACAAATGCGGTTCACTGAATCGTTCTCGTAGGGCCACGTCGGCCGCGTCGTACGTAAGGCCACGTCGGCCACGTCGTGCACCGGGCCGTCGCGCACCGGTGGAGTCCCGTCGAAGACTGTCAGGCCCCCGTCCCGTCTCAGCCCTCGTGGTACGCACAACACGTGGGCATGAGAACCAGGACAGGGGCCAGATGACACATATGTGAGCGGCGTGGCGCGGCGGACCGACCGCCGCGCTCCGAGCGCCGGCCGTCTTTGCGAAGATATCAAAATGCCTATTTGCTCGCTAACAATCACTAACATATTTCTTTTTTTCTACGATGTAAAACGAGCTATGCGCAAATAATTGCAATTTCTTTTAAAGTTTTTGTGTTGTACCTACTGTATCGGCAATTCAATTCGCCTCTGCAGACTTGAGCACGTTATCAAATCTGACAGACCCAGCGTTCGCTCAGTGTGCGCTCGTGGCGTTCGACCGCCGCCCGGAAGCCGCCCGATGTCCGATGCCTTCCCTCCGAACCCAGGAGCGCCGTCACGCGCGACCGACAAAACAGGCGGTCCATCGGCCGGCCTGGGAAAGGACGAATACTTCCGGCGGCCGGGGTGCTTAGAAGCCACACATGTGGGACAACCGGGGCTTGCGTGTGGCGACTGAGCTACAGTGACTGAGGCTACGGTCTGCGGTCATGAAATTTGTGACGTCATGAATCTTGTTATGAGACAACGTGTTAGTGTGTGTCACGTTTGGGAAATGGAATCTCTTTTTATTCTTCAATTTCATCAGTTTTTAAAGTCACCTTATTTTTGCTGCTCTTTTCTGTGCGCGCTGCGAGCGCCGTCTCGACTTGCGACGCGGGGTCCGCTTTCACTGCTGAGCACTCCCTGGAGTCTCGTTGATGGAATTTGGCCCGACGACGGTCCACAAACCACGGGGCGACCCTCCCGACCTGCGCCCGGGGCGGGTCTAAACAGCGAACGCTGCGATAGTAATGTCACCGAGGCAGCGCTTAGAATTTCACTTAGCTGCTTTTAGAATGATATGATGTTTGTTTGCAACGAGAGGAAAATGGAGTTAAATGTATCTAACGCCTCGCATCACACACAATACACAGAGTTCCCGACTCTGCTCTCCATTATAAATAAACCATGGCAAGCAGGCATAAAGAGTGTTATCTGCACCAAAGCTTTTGACTTAGGGCTCTGCAGACAGTGTTTTATGTCCCTGTCTGCGTAATCCTTTCATGTTCTTTCTGTGCCAGTCGAAACAGTCACATCGCCCGACCTCGTTTCGCCGCAGTTCCCTCGTGGTGAACTCTCTCCATCCTCACTGGTCTTCCTGCCTTCAGCAGCGGCATCTCACCGCCGCCATCGAGGATACTTTCCGAGGTCATCATTTCCTCTGACCCAGTGCGTGGCCTAGACTGAGTCGAAATCACGCGCAGGGTCACAGACCGGGGTCACCGGCAGGGTCACCGACCGGGGTCGTAGACCGTCGCTTTCCGGAGTGACGGAGGAAGTCAACGACCACGCCTTCCTCCCATCCGCTGAAAGTGGTGCCCTAGAAGCCGGCGGGGAGGATGCCGCCGCCGGCCCGCCCCTCGCCGCCGCCGCTGACACCAGATCCAGGTCGATAGAGGTGGCCATTAGGACAGTGACCGGCTGTGCTCGCCCCGAGCACTGATGGTGTATCGGCACCGCCGGTGATGGCTTTGAGTGGCCGTCAGAGACCGGAGTGGGTGGACTGGAGTTGTGCTAGGTAGTGGCTACGGGCGAATGGGATCTCCGAGTGTTGGTTCGAGTTGTGCTAGGTGATGGGAGTCTGAGACTGCTGTGTAGGAAGGAACTGCGTAGTGCCCGAGGACTTTGGTTTGACCCAATATTACTGAATGTTTGTAGAGATTTTAGAGTGGTATGGGTCGTGGTTTGTTAATGTAGAGGCAATTAAGATGTCGTATTTGCGTTTTCTTATAGATGACAACTTAGTAACACTGGGTGCTCTTTTGCGACTTTTCTCTCTCAGCACATTTATAACTGTGTGTTAGGAAAGTACAAATATTTGGTAATTATCTCTAGTCGATTATAACCCACTGTTTCCATTTTCAAGGCATTTTAGGGCATTACGACAGTTTACCTCGTGCCCGGAGTTGGCGATACCACGGGCGCCGGCCACGCCTGTTGCTAATAGGTCAGTGGTGGCTCCGGGCGTACCGTCGGCACTCGCCGGCCGCCGACTGACCGGGCCAAACGGCGAGAGCGACAGTGGCTGTGACCGCAGAGCGCTGGGAACGGGAACACGAGCACGCGCCGCCCACCCGCCGCCGCCGCCGCCGCTGCCGCCGGCGACCGTCCGACGCCGGCCCAGTCACCGCGCTCGTCATCGCATGCCTGCGTGCATTGTTGACTGCGCGACGCTGTCTGTGGTAGATCCGGAGGGCGTTCAGTGCGCGGAAAACAGCACCAAAGTTGGCCGTACCTGCGCCGCAACCGTCGCTATTGCGCCGCCCGCGAACTGGGGCTTGCCGCGAGCTGTCTCCAAGACCGTCGTCGGGGCGCCGCGACGGTCGTCTCGGCTCGCCTGTTTTGCCCGAGGGAAGTAGTGCCCGAGAGCTGGAGAGCGCTTCGGCTAAATTAATTGCGGGTTGGTGGGGCCGCCGGATTGGCAAACAGTCGGCGGTGGAGGTGGGATGGCGCCGAGGCGGGAGGTGCAGGTGCTCACGTTCGCAGCAAGTGGCTTTGGTGATTAGATGAGATGGGCTGGGTAGGGGGGGGGGGGGCTGTTTTCAACTGGTGGCAACTGCAGCAACTGGTGAAACAGCGGCGGTGACGGTGCAAGAGTACGAATCCGAGCAGCATCGCAGCCTTTTCCCCAAAGAAGTGCGTCATTTTTGCCTTAGAAATGTACAGAAACAAAACCAGGCAACAGAGTTTTTCTTCCGTATTTTGCCAGCATTTCAGACGACTCCATTAAGATTGAATTTCAGAAGCCACTTCCGAAGCTTACCTAAGAGTTTGTGATTGCTGAACACCCCATCGCAACCGCCAAGCCTTTCCAGCATCTCTCGCTCGCGTTACATGCAACTTTTCCGCGGTGTGAGCAGGCTCTAACCCGCAGCACACGCGACCGTTGCCCGGGCTGCTGGCGGTTTATGCTCACAAGCACGCCGGTGGGACCTGTTCCGGGTAGCACGTTAATGCAGGTAGCTAATGACGGCCGCACGGCTTGCCGGATGGAGGCTGTAAACAGCTCTCGGTGGTCTGAGCGTCACGCTTCCATCCGCGACTCTCCGGCAAAGCGGAGAAATGTGTGCTGGTGCGTTCTCCGCTGTGAGAGATCGATGAATTAGTTTCTTTCTCGTAAATGCTACTGAGACTTGAATGTTGAAATGAGAGTTGGTGCATTTTTTTTATCTGGCAGTCGCATCTGATAAAAACAAAGCAAAACAAACTCATCAATGTTCAATGGTATTGAACATCTCAAGGGTCTTCCGATTACATGCAATGCGCAAGCGTCGGACCAAATTTGGCAAATCTCTTCACCCAAATTACCAAGAAGCACTGTAAGCACTAATCCCGTGAGTGGAGTGTTGATTGGCGGTCATGTTCAGTTAATCCATCTTGAATGTTTCCATCAGGCCGACACGCTAAGCTTGGCTGAGCCGGTTATTAGTTTCCGGGCTTAGACAGAGACGTATGACCGGAAAATTTCCGTCTAATGAGGTGAATTACAGGCGGATGACAGCCTCGCAGAGCGGCATTTAACTCGTTGATGCCAAATTTCCTTTGAACGGGTGAGCTCTGTACTGAAATGAGTCGTTTCTGACGCCGTTTATCACAATATTTTTCTGATTGCAATGAATTGGCCAATAGACGTTCTCCGAATGCTGACGGAAATTACCGGTAGGACTGATTGATGTCTCGGTGCTTCTAATAAATAAATTCAGAAGTTGCCGTCTCATATCGACATCAGAAGCTGCTTTTCATGATGATGCAGCATTTCTGAGCTCCAGCGTATTCTGCAGCTCCGTCTGCCGCCTGTGACTGTGAGTCCCCGCCTCTCGGCTCCATCTCTAACCTCGACCTCTCTTCCCCAGGTGTGTGCCATGTGACGCCCAGCGGCGCAGCCAGTCGGGCACACCATGTTCCTGAACCCGTGGTACGCCAACCTGGGGCCGTCGGGCGGCGAGCCGGCCGTGCCGTCCGCCTCTCCGAGCACCTCAGAGACGGACTCACCGCGCAGCGAGCGTCGCGCCGCGCTCGGTTCGCCCCGTCTGGAGCGACGACCGCCGGCGGCACCTCCCTCGCCGCGGCCCGGCCTCCGCCTGCGGCCCGGCTGGACCGTGCACACAGCCGACGACGGCAGGATCTTCTACTGCAAGTGAGTCGGGAGGGGAAGGGAGGGGGAGGATGTGGCCAGTGTCCGAGCGCACGCACGCTGCACAGCTGGTCTTATGTGAAGCTCCCTTGGTTCCGGATGATTGCTCACATGCTCACATATTTCCTTCAGCGTTTTTACCGGCATGTACCGACAACTACGCATCGCTGGGCGTCATTGCAGGGTTTACCCTTGAGGTCATGTGATTTGTTAGTGAATGTAGTAACCTTACGGGGAGGAAGTCTATCACAACTTTTAAATCGATATTTCGAGCTGGAAAGCGGTAAAAGTTAAAACCGCTCTGACCTCTGGCCAAATAGGTACTGGCTGCTAATCGTGCGATTCTGTTGCTATGGTTTAACACTTTCCTAAATGATGTAAGCGCTGAGATAGCCGCAAAGAGTGGCAGGCGTAATGCGAACGAGGATGGTTGGAGCTTGAATTCAATAAAAGCCATTCCTCTACTCCTTTGCAGACTATACCTGTGGACGTTTCACTGTTGCGCCGGGTATCTCGGCACCTCACCAAAAGTGGCTGTCACGCTACCAGGCCTTTTCCGGCTCACCGGCTCACCGGCGGCATATGGCCCGCTCGGTCCGACCAGCTTCCATCCGCGCTGCCGCCGCTGTCAAGGGCGCCGGCTGACCCGACGTGACCGCGCGGCTCCCTCCCTCAAACACCCGGTGCCGCACCTGGCCTGCACAAAGGCCCGGTGCCGTGCGGGCCGTGCGGCGGCATTGGCGCGGCAGCGGCGCTCGGCTGTGTACAGCTGCTGCGTCATGCATGCCGCGGTCATGACGGCGCGCCGCGATTGGCACCGCAGCGTCACGGACGGCAACAGATGGGCCGCCGGCTGTGTTTGTGACCGCGCTGACACGCGCTGACCTTTGGGCAGGGGACACCTGTGACAGTGCATTGTTATGATTGTTATGATGGCACTATGGCCCGCAGCCTTCTGTCATATCGCGAACAGTAGGTAATTACATCTACAGAACCATACGTCAATGCGCCGCACCCACTAATCATTGCATTTCCCAGCTCATCACAGGCACAGTACCTACTACACGACGTCTTACAAACTCACTCCACCACTGACCTATCATTCCATGCCTCCCTACCTGCGGCACGTGAGCAGCTCTTGTCGATCATTACCACTCTCTCTGTACAAACATCCCCACCGTGGGATTCCCTATACGTGCCAGCGCTGTCTCAGCAGTGGCTCGATCTGCCCTGTCGCTACGATCCTCGACTGCTGGACTCTCCGACCTGTCTATCGATCGCTCTGGCGCCGGCAGGAGACGATTGTGATCGGTCTGAACAGCGAACTGCCGCTTCAAAGAGTGGGGACGCGTAGAGGTGGGAGTGGTGTAGGCTTTGACGTTAAGGGCAGTTGAGTGGAGAGTTGCCTAATGCTTAGGAATAATGAGCTTCGGCTACACTGTATATTTGTAGGCTTTTAGCCAAAGTAAGCGTGTTTTTAGTGCGAGTTTCGGGTGTTGTAATCATTCGTAATTTATCAGGAATTCTGACTCATCTACTTCCTTTCTGATCTTCTTTTAAATAGACTTCAAACATGGTAGACATTTTAAAAGAAGTGCATAATTAAGGGAAATTTTTCTGTCTAAAATATATACGAGGCCTGATCAAAAAGTATCCGACCTTTGTCCCCAGACAATAAACGCGAATGCTTACAGAGTTCGAACTGTATTCCCACTCAAAGTACGCCCCTTGCGACTCTACACACTTAGCCCAGTTGCCCTTCCATTGCTGGAAGCACTGTGAGAAGTCACTTTTCGCGATCGCCAACAGGGCCATTGTCGCATTCGTCTTGGTCCCCTCTGTGTCCTGAAATCTGGTGCCTTTCAGCGGCATTTTCAAGTGGGGGAACAGCCAGAAGTCACATGGGGCCATATCAGGTGAGTGTGGGGCCGGCCGCACCTGCGTGATGCCATGCTTGGCCAGAAACTCCTGTACGAGATGGGCTGAGTGGGCTGGCGCTTTGTCATGGTGAAGCTGCCAGTCCTGCGTCGCCCACAACGCCGGTCTCTTACGCCGCACCGCGTCCCGCAGACGACGCAGAACTTCGAGATAGTATTGTTTGTTGATCGTCTGACCTTCTGGAGCATACTCATGATGAACAACACCCTGATCGTCACCGTCGTCAACACCAATTTCAGGAATTCTGCTCGTCGAGGGCCTGCCAGGCCGCATGTCGCTCTCTACTGAACCTCGACCGTTCTTGAAGCGGTTGTACCAGAACTTGATTAAGGTAACGCCCATCGCTTCATCGCCGAATGTCAGCTAAACTTTTCTGATAGTGTCGGACTGCGTTTCCCCAAGTTTCTGACAAAATTTGAAGCAATATCTTTGCTCATTTCTTTCGGTCATCTTGACGCTGGGAGGAAATGCGACGACCGAGCAGTAGGCACGTGCATACAAGCAACGCTGGAAAGTGACTGAGCTGGACGTGGACGCTGAGAACACGTGTGTACGTGCACAACGATTAAGGCAGCATCCACACAGGGTATCATACACCTGAGCCTAATGGCCTTCGAGCAATCCAATGGGGTCGGATACTTTTTGATCAGGCCTCGTACACTTCCATCAACAAAGCAGCCGGCAAAAATCAGATAATTCGGTGAGAGTTCGCTTTCCGCGGGCGCGCTCTTTCAGACACGAAGCTCCACGGACGGTGACTCCGTCGGAGACAAGTCTAAAAGCTGATAACACATAATATTTGTCAGTCGTCAGATGCTCTGAAATGAATCGGAATGACAGTGGAAGCTGCGGGCTTTTGTTGGTTTGCTAGAAGTTTGCTGGGTGTTGCTTTTCTAGTTATCAGACGATGGGAAGACGCCTGACTGAACACGGCGAACGCTTATTTGCGAACAAAGTGAGCTGAGGGAAGAATGCGTTCAAGAAGCCGTCTACGACTGCGTCTCATTGGTCAATAACTACAAATCCAGAATACATTCAGCTGTATTCCCGATTCCACCATACTTTGAATCTGCTCCCATCGTCCTCCGAATCCGCTTCCATCGTCCTCCAAATCCTCTACCGTCGTCCTCTGAATCCGCTCCCATCGTCCCCGGAATCCGCTGCCATCGTCCTCTGAATCCGTTCTCACCCGACTATCTCCCGATGGCCGGCTCCGATGGCCAGACCGAAGCTCTTTATGGTCTGGTAACGGCGCCTCAAACGACCAACCACCACGCGCAACTGCCTCGTGACCATCATAACGTCCCTCTGCTGTGCGGCCATGGGGAGGAGTGGCTCCAAACTGCTGCTCGGGCCATCAGAAGCGCATGCCGGCGCTATAAATACCCTGCACGACAGTGTCCGCGTCGCCCGAGACGTGCAGCGATTGTATCGGCGCTCGACACACCAGTGTTCGTCCTTGTCAAAGTTTGGAAATTGTGACCGATCGACAACTCCTCCGAGGGCCGGCAAGTTGTCCAAGTGCATCTGTAGCTGGCGGACGCCGGCCGACAGTGAGTCACGTGCCGTATGGCTCGTTGAGGGATTCGAGTGGTGATCGTTCCAATCGTGATGGGCTGGATGATCAGCGGCTGCGATTGGCCTGGTTTGACAGTGTGACAGCCGACCGGGGACAGCCGATGATGGGGCAGTTTCTCCGTTACATGCTGGCAGATGGACTGACACTTGTATATGATATCTCTGAAAATAATTGAGACTTTTGTCTAAGAAAGTTCCTAAATCAAGGCGTTTTTTTTTTATTTTACAAATAAATGGCCTCCCGATTGAAAGTCAAAATTTACTCTGAACCAACTCGAGCAAAGTGTAAAGGGTCTGATGATTCCACATGGTTTGTTGGTTTTGGTTTCATAAATAGTGACATGTTTGGTTCTGACGAGTGTAGCTACTCCGTCTAGGCGCGTCTTTCATCCACCGTTGCGTGGACGCAGCGTTCCCCGCCACCCGCACTCCGTAATGAGTGTGATTTCTCCTCATTTGCCGGGCGCCGCTCGGCAGGCCGCGCTAATTTATGCTTATTTTGTTATCCGACATCTTTTGGATGTGGCGGCGCCAGCTGAGGAAATGCGCAACACGGAAAGGAAGGCGCCATGGCCCAGCAGCTCGGAATAAAGATAGATACATGTAGGAATTATCCTGATCTGCGTGACGTTCTTAAATATTCCAACATTATGTAGATTTCAGATTAGGCCCCAAGATGAAGAGCTCCAGATCGAGTCGAGAGGCTTTTTAAAACGTTTTATTCTAATTTCTTCATCTCTTGAATTGGAATATTTGATTTTAAGAAATGATTGGATTAAAAAGGGCTACCTATTTAATTTACTTAAGTTGCAAAATTATTTGCATTTTGAAGCAATCACATCACTCTTCCCGTAAGTACAATATGTGTGAGAGGCATTCGTGCTGTGGCAGAGGCCGTGCTACACGCGATGTTTTCATTTGTTACACCTCGTTAGCCATTGGTCAGTGAGAATACTCACCCCCTGTCAACCAGATCACCTCCATGCATACGCCATTCAGCCGCCGACAATTTGCCGTCGAGCACATACCAGCCTGTGTGTTGTGGTGTAATGCACGTGTGATAACTGTCGGGCTGGCATATGACAAGTGACGTCACTGGGTCAATGAGTCCGACCCCTCTGACACCTCCGGTGGTCCAATATTCCGCCAGTGTCACCCTACCCTGTCCGTGGCGTGACCGTGCAAATGAGGCTCGCTGTCCGTTCGCTGAAGCCTATTTCGGCTGGCAGGACGCCTTGTCCGCCGGTCGGTATAGTCAGTGGACAGGAAGCTGTTATTCTAAGTTTTGGCTGAATGCTTCTTTTTTCTTTAGCTGGCGATGTATTATTCAAAAGAAGATTTCCAATATGATTGATAACAAATTTGTCTTTTGCTGATGCATGTCAATTGTCACAAAAATTGTGAATTGATATAGGCCCATGCGAATGCTAATACCAGCCTGGTAAATGCACGTCATTCGTAAAACATGGGAAAACATTGCGCTATTC